CCCCTGCCATGCACACCAAGCCACACCCACAGAACCGGTAGTAAAAAAATTTGAATTCCACCACTGTTGCCCATATATGCATAATCCACTAGTGAACATTGTTACCCTCACAAAAATGATGAATATTTCTCTTCATTAGAGGATAAAGCTATGTGAATCATACCTGGGTAGGTGGCTGTTTTCTCTATGTGAACAAACAGCTTGTATATGAAGTCCAATTAAGATTCTTGGAATCTAGCTATATATTCTATTAATTGTACAAGTATTTAACATGCCTGCTGGGAAACAACAGAACTTATGTGAGGGAAGTGATTTGGTATTACCTGCTTGAAATCATTCTCGCCTCATTTTGTGACAGCAGGGAATAAAATATTAGGTATGCCAATTTTGGTCACTATCTATAACACCCTGGAGGATGTCCTGTTACCAAATTACATGGTCTCAATACTTCCTGTAGGTATTTTCAGACACAATTCAGTCAATCACAAATTTATTATCACTTGTTTTTTATGTTTTATTTTATTTTATTTATATAATATTCAATTTCCATTGAATAGCAGTTATTTTTAAACAATCATAATCTACATATTTGTTGTAGTATTCATGAAATCTCCAGAATTATAAAGTGTTGTCATATAACTCCTTGTGTAGGTGTGGCGGTCACCCATGGCCCAGTGCATAACAGGGCATGCGCAGCCACGCTGAACCACACAGGAAAAAACAAACTCCATAACATCCTGATAGTTCATAACATAACATCCTGCCCAGGATATGACCATATATAGACAGAACTTCCCTGAGCAGTAGATTAGCAATTGTAGTTTGACAGGCTGTCTTAAATCACATGCTGATTGCTCCTCCTGCCTTTGTCCTATCTCAATAAAAGGGGCTACCAGACCCCATTCTGGGTCGTCCCATTCTGAGAAAACTTGTGTCCATGTCTTTTCTCAACATTGGCCTCATGGGCGAACCACGGGTATTTCACAATAAAGCCTACAAATTGAAATTTGGCACCTATGTTCCTCTTGGCTTCCAGGTGCTCGGTAATAAAGGATTTTTTGAAATGACCATCAGATCATTAGTATTTCTTATATTAAGACGCTTTGATGTTAAGGAGTTAAATGTTCCACTCCCCCCTCAACCTGAAAACAACTCTGTTCCAACTGTTACTTGAATATCAGCATGGCCAGGCCAGTGCATGATTCATCTGGCTTGCAGGCTAGGAGTTTGGAGAGGAATCTGAAGGAGAGAAGGGGATAAGATAGGAGAGGCTTCTGTAGGGTAAGGATGAGGGAGAGAAGGGGATAGGATAGGGGAGGTTTCTGTGGGGCAAGCCTGAGGGAGA